CTAATGAGCTCAAATTCAGCCCCCGGGTAAGCGTGGTACCCGCGTACGGGCCCCCCAAAATTTTTCTTGTGTAAATTCATAACTCGGGGTTCTGAGATGCTAGAAAGCTGAAATTTTAGGTAATGTTCCCCGCCCAAGCAGGTGCTAATGAGCTCAAATCCAGCCCCGGGGTAAGCGTGGTACCTACGTACAGGCCCGTGAAAAGTTCCTTCCGAGTGAGTTACTTACTCGAGAACGTGAGAAGTTAGAAGACTGGAATTTTGAAGGGATGTTTCCTTACGGCTCTGGTGGCCAGTCTGAAATTCTTTCAGCTAGAAGCATCTGCCGAAAAAACCGATGCCGCTAGCGACAGAAACTGCGGGGAACTCTGCAAAAAACGCATCTTCGCACGAGCAGCCCGTGCGTTGGCCAATTATTTTTATATGGACTTGCCGTCATTGAAAAGATCTCCAACAGCTTTATAAAAAGGTGAATTGACGAATGATAGGAATGGGTCATCGTAGCCACAAAATGTAACATTCACTAGACTGAGTCTCCTGAACAGCTGCACTGTTTGTTATTTGATTATCAGAACCAGTTATTTGATTTTTTTTCTCGTCAATGATGCTGTGAATTATTAGATTGGTGAACTGATTTGTGCATTGCTTATTAAGAAATCTTTTATGATGCGTCATCGAAATTGTGGTGTGCTAAATTTAGACTCTCTCCTAATTAACCGAGCGAACAATGTTCTTTTATTAAATTTTCAAATGTATGGGCTTGCCGTCATTGAAAAGATCTCCAAGAGCTTTATAAAAAGGTGAATTGACGAATGATAAGAATGGGTCGTCGTAGCCATAAAATGTAACATTCAGTGGACTGAGCCTCCTGAACAGCATTCGTTTAATTTTTCGACAGTGCAGGATTACAACAAACAGGCTGATGCGTGCTTCAGATATGTAATATTAGGATCAGAAATAATGGACCCAAACATCGTATGCACATTTCGTGTTTTATTTCTTAGCTGTAAATGTGGAGAGCTGAAATCACTGAGCCGCAACCCTCAATATGAGGCTCCAATTCAAAAGCACTTTTTTATTTTCTCTCTGTCTTCATTTACAGTTTTACCTCGCGTCCATGTAAAGATTCATTGCAATTTCACCTCTCCTTCTCTTTCAATTTTCGTTGTTTGTTATTTGCTCGCTCCCTTTCAGATCATGAAGGAGGGATCTTCCTGGTGTAGTACGGTTGCCCGAGTGTATTGTTGCCTTTTACAAACTTTCAGGTCGTCGGGGCGCGAGGTTGGAAGTGTAGTAGGGTTACATCCGCGAAGAAGTAAACGATCATTCGGGCGACCCCCGAACAGGTGGTAGCGACACACAGAACAGACTGGAGAGATCTGCGGCTTAAACGACTGAGTGGATGGGGGGGGGAGGCGGGGAGGAAGGGGCGAGTTGGGTCGCTCACTGCCCTCAGTCCTCACTACTTCTTCCCCGTTCTACCTCCCCTTCCCCTTTTTTTTCATTACTTTTCACTTCATTTTCCCTGCTTTCATTCAATAGAGACGGACGCGAGGATTGCGTGCCGGGCGGAGGGTTCGATGGCTGGATTGGCTAACGACGTGGCGTGGGTGTTCAGCTGCTGTCTGGCCCTGTTCTCTTTATTATATAGTTCTGTTTAATGGTGGTAACTGTTTGCGTTCGCTGTTATGAAAGTGTGCGTCATATAATATCGGTTTTTTTGACTCATATTATTTGTCAGGTTCCTGGTTTCCGCTTCTGAAACGATATTCGGTAATATGGACAAAGATAGGTATGTTTACAGTCCCAGTCATGTTTTTCGAAGGGTATTAGATTTTGCTGTAGCCAGTGGCAATTGACGGTTCCTTTTAATGGTATATTGGTAGGGGCATATGCTGACAACTTATTATTCAGCGCTGGGTTCATTTTTCAGGCCTAGGTAACCAGAAAACGTATGTGTGAGCAACATGCGAATGTTTTTCATTTCATGAAGCACGCAGTGGCATACAGCTGTGGGACATTGTAAAAGTGTTTAAGTGTGGCGTTTCTTAGGATCGACGATGGTGAAGAGGCAAAAGACAGGTTCGCTCACAGCGATGAGGACAACGTTTCGCCGGATAATTCGGCTGTGTAAGCGATTTCTTGCTCTTCTGTTTTTTAGGAAGTCCAAACGATGACAGGCGCAGTTCATGTTCATTACAGGGTTGAAGAACAGGAAACCGACGATGCTGAGTTGAGTGATGAGGCTGATACTGGTGCATTTGCTTTCCTTGCTCAGAAAGAGTAAGTTGCAACTTTGGCATGAATGATTTGGCTGTCCGACAGGGTCTCCGGCTTCCTTGCGTGCGAGCTCTTTTGTCTCTGTGTGATGATTTCTGCATTTCTGCGACTGCCCATTTTTTCCGCCTCTTCTTTGCTGCAAGCGTGTTTCGCAGGAAAGAGGGGACTTGTGTACCGAAACGAATACATATCAAGATTGGCGGAATTGTCGCCTCGCGATCTCATAACATAGCATGCTTTTATTTGTGCATTTGCACTGATAGCACATATAGCGCTGAAACAAAATCACTCATGGTATTTACAGCCCTTTATTTGACAAAACGTTAAAGGAGTCATGTTGGAAAGAGTGTGTCGCATACTTATATTTTTAAGCAACGAAACAGGAAATAAGAAGAACCCGAATATAAGGCTGAACGGGATACCCTTCGAAAAAAGCCTTATTTTGAACACGAAGGCAAGAAGAGAGTGCGACATGTGGTGCGACAATCTAGGTATTTTGTTTTATTTAATGCTGAGCATTTCGTCCAAAAGTTGATGCTTTGCTACGTTGCTTTTGCTACTTTTTTTATAAATTTTTTGCTACGATGCGGCTTGTTATGAACAGATAACAAAATTCAGGCGCATGGTCAGCTCACGGCAGGCGACCTAGCTGCAGAATGTACAAATTAGCCGACAATTTCTGCGCTGTGGCGGGCAGTGCTACTTACGTACTGAAGAAGCAATATGCGGTCCACCCCCATACAAACCTCGCAAATTCGCTTTGGAAGTGTTTGTTTGTGTTGGAAAAAAACAATGCATGCGTCGGAGCTTTAGTGGCATACAAATCGAATGGTTGTTTCCTGGACAGGAGATCGCATGGAAATAACGCCCTCACAAGTAAAACTTGTTTGCGCACGAAGCCGTCAGTACTCAAAGAAATCAAGGACAAGAGGCATTGTACAGCACCGGCTTCCGTGTTTTCGGCAATGAGTTAGTCGTGCAGTACGGATGAAACTGTTGATCCTCAAGAAAAGGTTCGTGATGTGAAGCAGGTATACAATGCAATACAGGTTCATGAACCAAAGTATGGTACCGGTAGAAGAGCGTTTACAGACTTCGAAGAAATCCGCAATTACAAAGAGTTGACGCATTTGTTCGTTCTGTACTGCATGACCAAGGGTATCACCGCGTTTTTTGTGCTAGTCGAACAATGCTGGTGCACTTCAAAACCAGTAGCGTGCAAAGTTGGGGCAGCTTGGAAAAGTTAACGACGAGAATTTCTCCTGGTAATACAACTGGCTGCAATCATTTCATGGACGAGCGTATGTTGCACGAATCTAGAAATGGGGCAAAAGAATGCTATGTCGATATGATTTACAACCTCGGCAGTTTTTATTGTGCGGCGCTGTTTCTCAAATTAGCAGTTTTCGCCAAAAAAAGAATGGAGAACCAGCACTTTGTTTTGGCGCGTTCATGTTTAGCAACACAAGAACGAAACAGGATTATTACTGGCTTGCATCGCACCTCGCAGCGGCAATTGAGAGCACTGAGCACGACAGAGTACGCTGCATTGTCACATCCGAATGGGAATAAGAGACACCCACAGAAATCTGCTGTTTGGGGATATGTGCAGTCATGTTCTGTACGAGAACCACCTGCGTTCAAACGTTGAAATGTTGTTGAAGCAGTGCAACGCAAATAAGGAAACTCAGAAATAAATATTGGCAAAAATATTCGGACAGGAAGTGCAGTTCGAGCGTGGACGAGAACGAAAATGCGGTACTTTCGTTATTTAACGTGCTAGTTTTACACGTCTCAAAGCTTTTACCGTACAAATTCACTTCACCCAACCACTTCTTTTAAAACTGGTTTATAGCGCTTCGGAAGAACTTTTCACGCAGTATGTAGAGCAGGAAAGGGAATCATGGGACGTGTTTTGTCCTGGCTTCACTGAAAAATTTATGAGGAACATTGTACCGCGGATTCTGTCCGGTATGTAACTGCACTTTCTACATTACTTTATAATAGTTTTTTTCCGACGTGTACGAGACCGCCACTTGTTCTTTCAAGCTATCTGTTACCGTGAGATTCATGGCAGGCCTGGGTTTAAGGAGAGTGACTACAAACCCTTCTGAGAGCACCAATGGCTACATAACATGTAGTGCAATGGTCTCCATGTGATCATCCATGCACTAGAGGAACTGCGTAAAGATTTTCGTTTGCTGGCAGTAGTCATTGTTCTGTCTATGGAAAGGTATTCAAATTTTTGGATTTTCCAGATGAAGTAACACGTGTGAAGCGGTCCATAATCAGAGACCCAGGCTGAAACGCACCAGGCGAGCCGGAGCGATCATGCGTTTTTGCACCAGACTTGAAATAATTTGGTTAACTGCATGAGTGGTTGTTTTTCTT